TGGCTCAAAACTCAGCTCGATTGACGCAAATTTTCGCTGCGGCAAATTGATCCTGCATGAGCCGGCGAAAATCTAAAACATTCTGGAACATTGCTTTTTTTCGCATTTTTCTGGAACAAATGGGGCAAGTGGAACTAATAGTTATTTTTGTGATGTATCGGGTCCACCCACTTACGAACCGGTTACAGTTTTTGCGGAGTAGACCGCTCTTGACATAGTTTTCCATAAAGGCCTTCCATTCCTTTGCTAATATTTGTGCTAGAGTTGTCTAGCTGATGCGAAAGGATTGCCATTAAAAGACCGGTTCGTTAAGAATCGAACGGCTCGCGAAACGTTTATTCCTTCCCATATTTTGGTAGGGGAAAGGTTGCATTCTGAGCCTCCGAGTACGGGGGCGGCGCAGTTCAGGTTGGTAGGGGCACTTTGCTGTTTCCCATCGATAACTAACCGTTGCATTCCTACAAGCTGGCTGGAATAACAGAAACTTGGACCCAAGTCTTCAGTCTCACCAAGGTAACTTAGGTACTAGAAAGAAACTATCGAAAGTGCAAAATGCCCCCCCCCCTCCTAAGCCGAACACAGCCCCAGGGATTGTAGTGAGCTTGCGTGTGGCAAACGGGCTCGGAGTTTCAGGTGATAAGAAGGCCATAGAGTGTTCTTTTGGCAACGGGTCAAGACTACGTAGTTTGTAAAAAATCACGTTGAAGGTCCAAACAGGGGTTTTCAGGTTTTTAGGGTGAGGAGCACCTTTTCCAAAACGATCGTAATCGGTAGAGACTCCAAACAAGGAAAAGAAGCCGAAACGTCAGCCTAAAGAAGAGTTTAGCAATGTTGGTGGGCTCCATCAGGACTTCATGCAGGTACATCTTCGACCCCAGAGAACATCATCCATCTGCACTATTTCCTCAACAAGACCCCCATTGTAAGTCGAGTGGATAGGGTGGGAAGAGGGGGGGGGGGCGGGAGTTGGGGAGCAGTATAACAGTCGGTAGAGAACTCAGTAGAATTGTGGTGATGGCGCTGACTGGAGAGTGTATGAACAGTCTCCTTCGCTGCAGATGCTGGGACGTGTCTGGGAGGGGAGGGGGGTTGGCGGTACCAGTCCTCTTCTTCATAGTTAGTGGAGCGGGTAAGCTACAACGACTGGGGTAAAGTGGGCACGAAACCTCTCTGATTGCAGTACGTCTCAGAAAAAACCAACAGTTGAGCAGTTTTCGCCTGTTCGCTCGGCCAAATACGGCTCTCATTCCCAGCCACCAAATATGACACCCTCTCCCCCGCCTCCCTCCCTTATGTGGATTCCTTGCTGTAAACTCTTTGGCAGTGAGGGCACAAGGCCCCAAAACGTGTCGTAGTTCCCACTGCAGCCCTAATAAGGTATTTCGATCCATGCATGCTTGCATTTATAATATCGTTCGCTCTTTTGCAAACAATGTACGGCTTCTATTATTCCTCTCGTGTCCTGCCGCTAATAATTTTTGCCCTAGACGCATCAGGACCTACTGCGACTTTTGAAGATCAAGCTGACCAATTCAAGTCACTCGAACTGGTTATACTGCAGGAATCACTGCGCCGAAAAATTGCTAAATCTGAAAAGGCGGATGCTGCTTTGATGTGTGTGATGGTTTAGTAAACAAGTCCGTCCGTGCGCGGCCGATCGCACATCCTGTTGTGGTCACGTTTTGCCCATAATTCAGCATTTTTGTGATGACTTTCACATTGCGAGCAGCATAGTCATCACGGGAATCCAGAGTAACGTCCTTTGGCGGTAACAAAAGATGACGAAACTATATCTGCCTCGTCATCTTTGTTGTTCTGCTTTTTCGACGGAAGAAGTGACGCGAACTGCTAGATCCCTACGGGTGTGTATCGGACGACGAGTGCCTTTCTACCCCAGGCCCTTACGTCCATTAGAACCGTCATGGCCATTGACAGAATCGAGGTGGCGACGTCCAAAGCGGCCGTAACGACATTCCTCCCGAAGTAGGCCTTGTCCGTTATTCAGCAGTAAAGAGACTTGATCAGAAAAGGAACGGCAACGAGACCAGTGCCTAATTGAGAAGGGCACCCATGCCAAATTCGACATCACAAGAGATCTGATTGTGTAATCGGGCTATTAATCATGATAGAAGGACGTGCCCATTGGGAGGTCTCCATGGGCTTGTGTTCCTTACGCCTCTCAGTGTCTTAAGGCAGGTATAGCCGAGTGCGTTGTGAAGGGTGGTTCATGTCTGCTGCCTACGTCGCGAGCCGCAGTCGCCTGCTGGGAAGGCCCAAAAGAGCTCTTCGCAACAATTGCAAAAAAGGTGCTGGTGCCAGCGTCGAGCTCTGGTTGGCACGCCAACTGATAAAGAACCCGGTAACAGAGCATGTCCAAGTGGGCAATCAAGCCTAACAGTCTGACAACACTCTGGGGAGACTTGCCACTCTCGAGAAGGGTCAAAAAGCAATACGTTGCGAGACATCCTCGATACGCGAGCCGTAACTTGCGTCTATAAGTTTATCGGAATGACCAACCTTCCTCCACCCCCCCCCTCCCCCCCCCTACCGCTCTCCTTCTCTCGCTCGACCAATGGCCGGCATATTGGCAGCCTAAAAATTGTCATGCAGCCGGGAGCCCTTGCTTGCAGAGCAGCCTCAGCTTCTGCCTCTATAAGAAGTGCGAAAGGATCGACATGATTTGAAGCTAACACCTGGTTAAAAGGGACTGAGGAAAACTAGAAGAGCAACGGAAAATGAAAAGCAATGGATTGAGATGATAGTGGATAAGACAAACGACAAGAATCCTGGTGCCTACCTCTCAAACCTCTCCTACGGACACCTTAGTTCGATGATCCGCTTCCTGAACTCGCACTCTACGAGCCTTCTCTTTGTCTCGAACTGTTTGTTAATTCATCACCGATTAGTGATCCATTTTGGGCTTCAAAAAAGACAATGGTATGTGTCGGGTATGAAAATTCGGGCCGCGGCTAGCGTAGTTCTAAACCGCAAAGGCGATCAATGTTTACGGTTTAAATTTTTCACCTCTGTTAGGTTATGCGTCATTATTTGTCAAAAAAATCGCAAGTGCTCTGTTCCCGCGTGTAGAGCAGCCCTAACAACTGACATGATTTTTCTGCAGAAACATTGCAAAGGCTCTGATCAGAATCAATAAAACTACCGATAGAACAAATGCAGTAAGGGGGTGCTACTGTGTGGTAATCATCGGCACTTTACATCAGTCTTCAACATGGTCTGAGAGAATATTAGAATAGCATTAGGTTTAACCTATACGACTCACAAATGGATAGTTCTTTCGATACAGCGTAACAATGCCCTGGACAGGACTGAATCAGGGCAGAAGCGTCAACTGAGGCAGTTGCTCCCAGAACCGTCCCTCGCGCGGGCTTCTACGCACTTCTTTGGGAACTCTTACGGAGTAGTGCGCGAGGTATACGAGTTGCACATTGCGGCGGTTGTAAGAAGCTTGTCCCTGCGAGAGATGAAGCCAATGGGGATATCAAATGGCCAAGTTTACTCATTGCCATGGCACAACTTTTTTGGAATACATCTAGGGTTTCAATGAGCGATGCCATGTAGACGTGTTGAACCATCGCTTTTTAGGGCAGTCGGCGTTCATGCCTTCAACAAATCCACTTATGCCGGAATTGTTACGTGAGGGTGGATACCTATGCGTTTAACGGGGGGGGCGTATTTGGTCCGTAGAGAGAGGGGTTACATTTGCTTTTGGAATGTCTTCAGTTGCGATTTCTCCCGTTTGAGTGATGTTAGATCCCTTCCCCTCCCACTCACCTCTCCCCCCCCCCGCGCTTGGCAGTAGTTTTTTGGGTTTTTCTCTTGAGAAAAACCGGGAACGTACTAGAAAAATGGGAGAACCAAAGAAGACAGAAGTAGGTAATGAGAGATGGAGAGGAGGAGGTCGCAGGCGCGAATTGTGGAGGTCGTTACCAGAAGCCAGCAAAACTTTGCGAGAGGGTAGGATTCTGTGAAATTTCTTTCCGACTCTAGGAAATGCTATGAATCTGAGTAATCTTCAATTATCATGAGCAAGATAAAAAGTTATTCCATGAAACTCTTTGTTATTCTACTTTGCTTGCCTAAAACATTTTTCAGCTCTTTGAAAGCGCGTCTCCCCCTCGTCATGACTCGGCCAAGCTAAATCGCGCTATATGAAGCAAGCCGATAGTGTTTGGAAAGAACTGCGGGTTGTTTTCTTTCACATTGACGAGACCCCGTGACGAGGCGAGAAGAATGCGCGGGCGAAGATGAAGC